ATTAACATTTTAAGCCTAATTTTTTTTTTAACCCTTGATATTGTAACATATAGTTGACCATGAGTAAAAACTGGCCTTGGAAGATATACACCCACATGTGAAAGAGATTGTCACATAAAGTTTTAAGGCTCTGTTTGGTGGTAGCGTTTGAGGTAGCGGTTAGCGTTTTGACTAGTCAAAACACTACTAGAAAAAATTTGAGAGTGTTTGGCAAGGTAGCGATTCTAGTAGCGGTTAGCGATAGAGATAGCGTTTAGGTAGCTTTTTTCAAACGTTAAAAATAAAAACGTTTAGAAGTAGCGGGTAGCGTTTGGCAAAATTTTATTACTTTTTAAACAATATTTATATGAATTTTGATATGTTTTAGTATTGCAACCGCTACTTTTACCAAACACTCATACTATCAACAGTTACCTTGAAAGCTAACCTCTACCCTCTACTAATTGACAGCTACTCGCTACCTTAACCGCTACCCGCTACTCAACCGCTAAAAGCTACCCACTACCGCTACTTTTGTCAAACAAGACCTAAACTAAATAAATATTGTATAAAATAATATTTATATAATAAAATTTTGTCATATAAATTTGATAACTGTAATTTTAAACAATATGTTTCTGCATCATAACCGTAAAAGAAAAAAGTAGCATTGAGCACTTGCCTCTTGTGTATAACCTATCTCATCAACTGTTTTTTTTTTCAGATTTGTTTAAAAAGTCACTCTCATTTTTTTGTGAGATAATAACTACTTATGTTAGTCACTCTCAAATCTGCAAAATTAATGTAACAATCAATATATATTTTGTTGTATAATTAATCAATATTTATTTTGTTGCATAACTTATAATAACACTTTTCGATATAATATATACTATTTCAAGAATAATATCCATATTAAAAAAAAAAAAAAGAAAATTCATATACCTATTCTTAAACTCATTCAACTCATCAATATCAGAATTTATAAAGAGATTAGTCACAAATAGGGAAGTTGATAGCATAGTAGTACCTGTTAATAAATAAAAATTAATAAACATGAATATAATAGATAGTACTAATATTGGCGTCAAAACAAAAACCCGCAACGTTAATATTTTATATACCTTGCCAAGTCTTGATTTTTACAAACCGTAATAAGATTATAACTTGACGGTCTAGATGCTCAAATAAATAATCTTGTAATTAATCAGCATATCGATTCCATAAAGTGCATCTTAAAAACATTATTTCTGAATTCAATAAACAGAAATATCATTCTTGTCAGAAAAAAAAAAAAGAAAAAAAAAAACAGAAATATCATTAATTCAATATTTCCATTCTTTATTAATTATTTTATATCTTAACAGTTAAATGTACTTACTGCAGGTCTTCTAATTGAATAGTGATCACCTTCGTTCTTTTGTCATTCTTTGAATAATCATCACTACTTAAAATTCCAGAAATATAGCCAATGACATCTATTATACAAAGAACATATTTTTGAAAATTTGTTAGAACATCTTCCAAAAAAAAAATGATCACATTATACATTAAAATTCTTTTTAAAGAAATTATATCATACCCACTAAACAGTTGCTATTCAGATTATTTGAAAGAATTGCATCAAGGGGCACCAATTCGAAACCATATGCATTTATGTTCGCTCCAGCTAGCAAAGGCAATAACGCTAGTAGAACGTTGAAAATTTATCTTGTATGCATGATTAGTAGGCTTGTATTCCCCACTGCTTTTTCCAACAGAAAAATTTGATATATTATGTATCTCGCCTTCGTTCAGTTGATGTTGGAACGTTTACAATAGATGTTTCTTAATAAAAGCATGTATTTTGTCACCCTAGCACATAAAAAGATTAAAAGTAATAACAAAATATAGTATATAAAGAAATACAATTGGTCATCGTATGTTAAATTCTTTTTTTTTTTTTTTTTTTATAATTAAAACAACAATACCTTTTCATCCAATAACACCATCTCAATAGAATAGATATCAGCCATAAACGGATGACTGTAACTCGTAAGGTTACATTTTCAGTAGTAGGACTTATGTCCTTGATGAATACTAAATTTGCAGTCATAAATGAATGAAAATTATGGTTAAATAGTATAATAATGGTTAAACGGTATAATAAAGATATAAAACCAAAATCAGTCGTGATCAATGATTATATATGGTTTTTATATAGTGTAAATATCTTATGTAAATATGGAAAATTAAAATTTTATATCCATTGTTAATCATGCATATAAAATTAATATTTAAAGGTAAATGGATATATATATAAATAAAATGCAAATAAAACTATATTTAGATAGTATTGTGGAGTACAAAAATTATATTAGAATATTTAAGATTTTATACTGCTTTTTCACATCATTTCTGTTTTGTGAACGATATGGTTGATATATTTACTATGTATATATTTTCTTATATTAGTTTATGGATATATATTTTCTTATGTTAGTTTATGGGTATATATTTGATTTGATTTGATTTGATTGGTATATTAGTTTATGAGTATAATTGGATTAAATACGTTGTAAAAATGAAAATAAGTATTATTGTAAGTTTTAAAATGAATGTCATTTAAATTTGAAAAAAAAAAAAAAAAAAAATTGGCGGAAAATTATCTGAAATGATGGAAGATGAGCATACCCTAACCAAGTGCTTCCAAGGTAGAAACATCATTACTTTATGCACAAAATAATAATTCACCAATGTCTTGTAAGTGATGTTTTCAACGCGTTATAGAGGGATTGTAGCCTTTGTAGGTATTGTTAGGGCCCGGCACTTGGCCCAGGTCTTGCTTGTCCTAAGCGACCTTCCGTTTTTGGCCCATGACCACTGCCTAATTTATGCAAGTATTTGCAAAAAGAAATCTACAAGTATATTTATAGTACAAGTCTTTCAATCTTCCAAGGACTAGTAAACTTAACCTTTTCTTTATTTATTTTTTTGATAAAGGAAAAAATAAAATACTTTGTAATTATTAAAAAGTCCTCATCACGAGGGGGATTCCTATAAGAAGAAAGAATAGTGTACATGCTACAATTATCACAAACATCAACATCATATTATTAAATAATATGCGCTAAATGATTTACCTCTCGGTAGATGCGCTATATACTCCAATTGTGCAATTGAGTGAGGAGAGAAACTAGTGTCTTTGATAATATGCTTGCTTTGCCAAGAAACTGCTCAAACAGAGCTTTAATTTGGTATTTACTATATATATATGTAGATAATTACATAGAATTTTTTGGTGTAATGGATTTTAACACAAACGAAACTTGGATTGGATATAGTACCATACCAACCCCAAGTGTTGGCCAACCCTAGAGTAAGGAAAGGATTTTTGAACCTTGAAATTAGGGTTTTAAAATACACTATTGGAGCCACTTTAGCATTAAAAATCCCCTTGCCCTCCTCCATTCTCAAAGTGTCTTGCTTAAATATACGAATTAAATTGACTTGTGAGAAATTCTAACCATTAATACAATTCATCATGCCTTATAAAAACACTAGTTGACATAGCAAAGGCACAAGCAGTCACCAAGCTTTCTATAAATCAACAAAGGCAATAATACATCAATCATGTTAGCCACTGAAGGAGCGGACAAGTTTTGATTTTCAGTTTTCCAATAAATTAAAAGTCTATGCAATAATTCTTTCTTTAGCTTCAATGCCTTCAAGGTAGACAAATATTATTTGTAGTAGTGTAATTCAAATGTTCTAATATCCCCTATATTTGTAAGAATACAATATGTTTGATTTTATAAATTTATATAATTCCATCATAAATTCATAATAATTTGTTGATGCATTTGCTTTGTTGTTACCTTTTTATCGAATGTGTTCATATATTTTTTTGTTATCATCACGTACTAGTCATTTAGTCATACATGGAGTGCGCTCCTAATCGTAATGATAATCATTTTCTTAATATAAAGTTAAACTAATTAATTAGTTATTATATATCTTCTCAAATTTTTTATTCTATTAAGACATGACCACAAACAAACATAGGAGACATTGAAAGTGATGATGAGAAAATATCAACGAAACTTCCAATTGTTGTATCTACAACAAAGATTCAGTCGTGTGGGGAACAAGTTACTGAATAGTCGTATATAATCAAATTGCACCCAATAATGATCCATAACTCCATTATCAGTGAACTCAGCAGAGTGTATGTACCTCTCAATTGGAAAACAATGATTTGATGAAACATCAATATCAACAATGATATATAGGGATACAAATTCAAGACCATATATTTTTTTAATCAACTCTCAAAGCTACAAATATATACTAGTAGTCTAGTATCACATTATTTAATTAACAAAAAAAAAATGAACTAAAAGACTAACACATACTACGTATTAATAATGAATGCCTCAAGTAAGTAGACTTGTATTGTTATTGATTGGGGAAAAAAAATAAAGTGCAAATAATAGTGACTAATGCATAAGTGTGAATATCTATATTTTGTGTCAGTTAAAATGTGTGTGTCACTTAATAGAGACAGAAAAAGTGCATACTACGTGATACGTATATTACAAAACATAATATTGTCAACTGAAAAACTCATAAAATTTAGTAAAATTGAAGAAGTGTAATATTACGAAGTTGACTTAACAAAAATTCTTGATATAAGTAATGGTCATTCTTACCAAAAATAAAGAGCTTCACTCCTCGTAATCTAGACATAGAGTCGAGCATAAGTGTGAAGTGTATAATTACACTTTTAGACTAAGTAACAATAACACGACATTAAGTATTTCAACCCGCACCGTAGGTTGTCCGTATACTCCAACTTTAGTGTATACATATATCTTAGCTTGTTAAAATACGGAGTAATATACAAATATATATATATATATATATATATATATATATATATATATATATATATATATATATATATTTTGTATGTAGTAATATATTTTAGGTCGTATTCCTAAGAATGATGTCTGTTTAAATCGAATTGGGTTAACCAATGAGAAGTTTTCCATCGATTAGGCCTTCTCTTTACCTTTAAAATATAATACTCATAATAAATACTTTGTACAATATACGAGTATAAAGCAACACTATATCTACTTATATATCTAGGCACCCTTCCTGCCTCTCATACAAAGTATTACACAAGTGAACAACCATGGAAGGTCCAAAAATGCCCACCACTACCACCAACCCTCCACTCCACACTCACAAGCTCCTCCGTCGTCGAGCCACGTTCAATCGCCTTTACATGGCGGTTTACGTGACGGCTTTACTAACCTTTCTCTACCACCATATACACACACTCCTCAACTCATCTTTTACTCTCCCCCTTCTCCTCCTCCTCGTCTCTGACCTAGTCCTCGCCTTCTCATGGGTCTGCACCCAATCCTACCACGTCCTCCCTATTCGCCGCCAAGAACACCTCGAAACACTAACCTTAAACAAAGGAGAGGAAGCATTCCCATCGGTTGACATATTCATATGTACAGCGGACCCTGATAAGGAGCCGCCCATGGGGACAGTGAACACGGCGTTGTCGGTCATGGCTTATGATTACCCACCGGAGAAGATATCGGTGTATGTGTCCGATGATGGTGGGTCCCAGGTTACTCTATTTGCTTTCATGGAAGCTGCTAAGTTTGGCCGCCATTGGTTACCTTTCTGTAGGGAAAATAATGTGGTGGAAAGGTGTCCTGAAGCTTACTTTAATGGCGGTTTCTACGCTACTAGTCGTTCGCTTGAAGCTGACAAAATGAAGGTATTTAATTTATAATTTACTACTTTATTACGAGTATTATAGTTTATTAATCTCTCTATATCCGTCTCTAAATGTAGGTCATTGCCTTTAAAAAAAAAAGTTCAACTAGCAAAAATATTTATAGATATAACATTTTAAACTTACAAAAATAAAATATAACAAATTTCTTATAGATCTTATGAGAGTAGAATTAATTTTTATTTTAAATAAAATCTTAAGATCAAAGAAAATTACTCGTATGTATGTACTTGATCACACTCATCATTATATACATAAAGTACGAATAATTATTAATTTCAAACAAACAAAATATGCATAATTTGAAATAGACAAAGTGCGCAATTTATTCCGGAAGGTTATAGACTTATAGGTATATAAAAAATGAAAAAAAAAAAAAAAAAAAAAAAAAAAAAAAACCTTTGACACGACACTTATCAATCAACTTTTTTTTTTTTTGGATTGGGAACTTATCAATCGACTTCTGATTTTATCAACTGAAATTAGGTCATGTTGTGCACATAAAATAAGAATTGGGGTTTAGTAAAGAAAAGGAAGTTCACGTGAGCTGATCAATAATGGAAGCGGTAGAACCGAAATAATAACCAATATTACTCGTACGAAATACGGGTGTATATTGATTTGCTCAACATCAAGGTGAGGCTAGGGCCAGTGGCTTATGGATGGCTTTAAAATGTTTGTATCAGCCAACTTTGTCGGTATATTTTTCAATTTTAACTTGAACGAGGTTTGTTTACTTCGATAGTGTACAATAAATATGCCACTGCGAAATTTGTTTTTTATTTTATGCGCACAATTTGTAATAAGACTATAAATTATTCTTTTATTTAGAGTATTTTCAGAATAAATTTACTTTTACTATTCCTACATTTCCATATATTCTTTCGTATATAAATAATAAATACATAGTAATAATTGAATTATGTGTTAATTAGTGTTAAAGTTAAATTGTTGCACCTTGCAACTATTATGAGATAAGACACCAAAGTAAACTCTAACCTAAGTTCGTTGTAATATTTTTTTTTGTGTTATACCCGATTTACCCTTTAGATTAATCCAAATTCAAGGCTTATTTCTGAGCAGTTAAGTTCCAGTCCCTTATATTGTAAACTCTAACCTAAGTTGTAATATATAAATCAGATGTACACATTACACAAGGATATCTAATTAAGTTATCTTATGTTTTTGTTTTACTATATATACTTCATACATACGAAGTATGTATTTACTTCCTAATAAATGTCCTTGTTTGGAATTTTTCAAATAAAAGACTATTTTACTTACCTTAGTATTCCCATACGTTCAATTATATTAAATGATCATATTTAATCTAGCTAACTCCACAACCCACATGTTTATAAAATCGATTCACATGCGCAATTAATTATATTTTACTCGGGTAGATTTTTTCTCTAATAATTACAATTTGTAAATTATGGTTGCAGACAATGTACGAAAGCATGAAGGTAAGAGTAGAAAATGCACTAGAAAGAGGGAAGGTTGAAGAGAGGCATATTGATGACGAAGGAATGTTAGAGGCCTTTGCCAAATGGACCAACAACTTTACACGTCAAGTTCATCCTACCGTAATACAGGTCTGTTATACCTTTCAAATCACACTTCCTTCATTTCTAATTAAATTACGCATCTGAGTTTTGACACTGTACACAAACTCTACTTTGACTAATTTTTGTGATTTATCGAAAAAATATAGTCATATAAGATCTTGTTGAAATTCTTTTAATGTGTGACTTTAAAAAATCAATTTTTTTTTTAATTTTTATGTTGATAATTAGAGATATTTTCCTAATGATAGATCAAATATGGAATGTGTCTAGAAGAAATAAATATTTCTTTATGACGGAGGGAAGGTATTAATCCTATATTTTAATTAAAAGCATTAAACCAGATATTAAATTATAAATATGTAATGTTTCATAAATTATAACAATGATTTTATGGTATCACATTATTTAATTGTATATCAGGTTTTACTATCTACTACGAAAGACAAAGACGTTACTGGTAAATTGATGCCAAACTTGATATATGTATCAAGAGAGAAAAGTAAGGTCCATCACCATCGCTTCAAGGCAGGTGCCCTCAATGCTTTGGTAAGTGTAAATTTCACATACATCTATGTTTCTACTAGAAATGAAGGGGTCGATAATTCGATATACTCTTTTACCAGCTCAACTATTTAAGATTAAGTAAGACACATAAAATGAGATGAAAGGAGTAACATGTAACCTTTTGAAGCCCTCTAACGCTAATAAAAAAAAAAAATCCGCCAGTCTAATAGGCCACAATAATTGTATAAACAATCAAGATTGTTAACCACAAAATAATGTTTATATATCTATAATAAAAATCTTATCCTGCCTTTGTATACCACTAGCTTTCAGTTTGATTAGTCAAATACTTCTTTCATTTTATTTTTTTGTATCATAGTACATATGTTCTTGTAGTCTTATAGACTTGTATATTTGTATAATATATTATTGTCAATTGTCTATATGTGAATAAAGTATTTGATTTTTATTTTTTTCCGTGCTAAATTTCCAGTTTCATATTAATAAAAGGATGTGGCTAACAAGCGTCCCGAGGCGTTAGATAAGTACTTAATATATTACTTAAAATAGTATTAAGTTCGGAATGCATGACAAAATCACACGTCGATCGATGTAATTAATGTTAATTTTACTTTAATATTTTCACTTCAATTCTCTTATCTAACGCCCCCGAGGACACTGCGTTAGCTTTTGCCTTTATATAATGACTTTGTTGTTACTTTATAGGTTCGTGTATCAGCAACAATGACAAATGCACCAATAGTGCTAACCTTGGACTGTGACACATACTCTAATGATCCACAAATCATCAAACGGGCTTTATGTTACTTTTTGGATCCTGAAATTCGGCCCACATTAGCATATCTTCAATTTCCACAAATCTTTCGTGGGCTTAACAAAGGTGACATCTATTTCAGTGAACATAAACGTCTTTTCCAAATCAACCCATTGGGAATGGATGGGCTTTATGGCCCAAATTATGTTGGAACTGGATGCTTCTTTCAACGTCGAGCCTTCTTTGGAAGCCCGTCATCTTTGATCCAGCCTGAAGTCCCCGAACTTAGCCCCAATCATGTCGTAAATAAGCCCATTAGATCACAGGAGATTCTTGAATTGGCCCACTCCGTCGCTGCTTGCAATTATGAGAACAAAGAGGAGTGGGGCGAGAAGGTGAGACTGCCTTTCACTAATTTAATATTGTCTTCATTTTATGTTTTTGTTTGTTTAAAATTTTTAAGTCTTGAGTGAGATTATCTTATACTAATTTACTTTGAGATATTAAACATTACCTGCCAATAAATTATTGTGAATATGCAACATATTTATCTCATACTATAATGTAATCTACTAATGTTTGTATAGTTGGGCTTCCGGTACGGGTCGTTAGTGGAGGACTATTATACGGGCTATCGGATGCAATGTGAGGGATGGAGGTCCATGTTTTGCAGCCCACAAAGGCCGGCTTTCTTGGGGGACTCACCAGTGACACTAATTGACTTGCTAAGCCAATGTAAGAGGTGGATAAATGGGCTTCTTGATGTTCTCTTCTCAAGATATAGTACTATGACTTATGGTATTCAGAAATTGGGCCTAGTCATGAGTTTCACTTATACACATTACACACTTTGGCCCATTATCTCCATTCCATTCACCATTTATGCCTTCATCCCTCAACTTGCTCTCATTAAAGGAATTTCCACCTTCCCAGAGGTAAGGAATATATAATTTCTACTTCATATCCTAGTACTACTTTCGCCCAAGCACACTTAACTGCGGAGTTCTGATGGGATTGGGTACTAATGTCTCTATTAAATTAGCCAACTTGTGACAAGTTGGTGTCCAAAATTTTGAACTAACAAAATTGTCCTTACTAAGTTGTCATTTGTGTTAGTTTTTAAAAAAAATTATATGCACGCGGTTGAATCTGGTATTCAAGTAACTAATGGCGTGTGCTATGGTACAGATTTCAGACCCAAGGTTTCTCTTGTACATATTTCTATTCATTGGGGCCAACGGAAAAGACCTAATAGACTTTCTTCTAGAGAAAGGAACCTTCGAAAGGTGGTGGAATGCTCAAAGAATGTTGATGATATGTGGACTCTCAAGTTTCCTCTTTGGATGCATTGACTACGCTCTTGGCTCCTTAGGCATCACGATTCGTGGATTTGATGTCACTAGCAAACTGCAAGATAATGAACTAAGCAAGAGGTACGATCAAGGGACTTTCGAGTTTGGTGTCGCGTCACCTATGTTTGTGCCTATGACAATGGCAGCCATAATCAACCTTATATCCTTTGTTATGGGTGTTTTAGGGGTGTTTAGAAAGGGAATGGAAAATATGGAAGGGCTAATTTTGCAGATTTTGTTGTCTGGTTTTGTGGTGATTAATTGCTGGCCACTTTATCAGGCAATGGTATTTAGGAGTGACAAAGGGAGGATGCCCACTAAAATCACCTTAATTGCTGCTTTTCTAGCTTCAATTTTGATTGTGGGAAGCTAAACTATGGTTTATATATAAACTCTTGTTTGTACTACTAATATAAATCATAATGGAATTTCCCTTGGCTTCTAAATAAAATTTGAGTAGACCACATTACCATACGTCTGACGGTCTGATTCTGATCCTACTTGAAACATGCACGTACAAGTATGTTTCTTAGTTGGTTTACATTGGTTTATATCCTATGTCCATCTTGTGTTTCTTCATCTGCTTTATACTTCGTATTTTTAGTTTGTTGTATTATATTAAGTGACACATTTTATGACATATTGAAACAAGTTCAACAAGGCCTGATCCTACATACTTTAAAACATGTATGTTTCTTCTTACGAATAACTAATTATAAATTGTTAAATATAAGTAGGTGAATAGTATAAACGCCTTACACGTTCATTAATCATTATATATTGTATCATTAACATTATAATGAAATAAGTAATGACATATGTGTGGATGTTGAGACTTGAGAATATGATAAAGTTTTGGTTTCTCCGTTTCATTCATTAATCATGCACGTACAATTAAATCGCACACATGTTGTGATACATAAAAGTCAAACAAAATACTTCCTCCGTTAACGGTTATTTGCAACATTCGTACCGTTCACGGAGGCTAAGGCAAAAGTTTTTAAGCATGATTATTAAAAAATAAGGGCATGTACTTAAACACTAATCCAATTTTAAAAAAAAAAACAAAAATTATCAGAACAAGGAAAACCCAGAATCACCACCACCACCGAGGCACCGACCCCACTGTAAACCACCACCACCACCGACCCCACCGTAAACCACCACCACCACCGAACCCACCGTAAACCACCACGAATCAGATCTGAACTCCTACAACCACCCCACCACGAACCCAGCCACGCAAACACCACCACGAACCCAGCCACGCAGCCACCACCACGAACCCAGCCACGCAGCCACCACCACGAACCAAACCCACGCCACCCCACGAAACCAAACCCACGAACCAGACCCACCCCCACGAAACCAAACCCACGAACCAGACCCACCCCCACGAAACCAAACCCACTAACCAGACCCACCCCCACGAAACCAAACCACGAACCAGACGCCACCCCCACGAAACCAGACCTACCCAGCCACCACCACGAACCAGACCCACGAAACCAAACCCACGAACCAGACGAACCCAGCCACCACCACGAAACTAGCCACGCCACCCCCACCCCTAAAACTAGATCTGAAACCCCTAACACCCCCACGAACCAGAAAATTTGTTTATCTTGATGAAATCGTCGAGGGACATGTTCAATTGATTTTCCATTGCCATTGAAAGATGTGGTGAAGAAGAAGAAGAAGAAGAAAATGTAGAGGAGAGAGAAAATTGAAGGAGGAAGAAAATTGGGGAAAACCAGAGAGAGAAAGTGGGAAGATGAATGATTTTTGGTGAAAATGATTACAATAATCAGATTTATTAGGTAAAAAGTTAAACTAGGTTAGTGATCTAATTAGATGTCTAAGTTGTTTAAGTAAGGGTAATATGGACATTTTGTTGGCAAAAAGTTACTAAAAAAGGAAATAAAAAAGTTTGTTGCAAATGATAGGAAGCGCCTAATTTTAGTAAATGTTGCAAATAACCGTTAATGGAAGAAGTATTTCATTGTTTCATTTGGCACTCATAATCAAAAACCGAAGAAAATGTTACAAAAGACATTACTAAATATATAAGCTACAAGTTTTATTCAATTCATATTCATCCTAAGCTACAAAAATTTGGGGCAACCTTTTCCCCCTTAACTTATAGAACAACACCTGGAGCAATATAAGTTCCTTCTCTCCAGAGATACAAATTTTGTACATGACACCCCGTGCGATAGATGTATCACCATAATGCTAGTCATCGAGGTTATAAGCCAACACAAACATGTACACTATACTTCATAGTCGTCTCACGTATCACCACAACTATCCTAGGTACTACCACATGTACAACATTTAGAATTGGATTTTTTTTCATACCTCCTAACATGTACTTGGACGACGAATATAATTTATTGGAACATTACTTAGTTTAAATTAGAATTATATTTAAAGGTTATTTTATGAAGCATTGTTGCTACTTGAAGGTATCTCATCAGCAATTTCAATTACATGCTCTTCTGTTCTTGTGGAGTTGTGCACTTCTGAGGTACTACTACTTCCAACGTTTTCTAACTCAATCTGTGAGATAGAGTTACCATTTCCTAGGTTTACAAGGTCTGGACCAAGCCCAATAGGCCGGCCCATCTTTAGGGCAGGCATGACATGGCACCTACAGAGTGGACATGTACCGTTGGTTCGGAGCCAGAGGCGGATGCAATCGCCATGGAACACGTGTTTGCACAATGGCAATTGTCTTAGCTCCTCCTTCAACTCAAACTCTCCCAAGCAAACACAACATCTGTGGAAGGGAAACAAAATATAGTTAATTTTTAATTGAAGGAGTAAAAATGTTACGGTAGACTTTTCAACATTTCGTTTCCTTTTGAATACCTAACCATTAGGCAATTAGCTTACCATTGTCGGTCATTCAAAACAAGCAAAACAAGAGGATTTCTAGGACTCTAGGAATTAGAGTCATACATGACTCTAATAACTCATGTTGGTATTTCACATGATACCAACAAGTTATATCGATACTAATAAAACATTTTTGCATTCGTTGGTATCACTGAATAAGATTATTGGTATCATGATAATACATACCATCTAAAGTATAATGAAATACCAACGTGTATTATGAATTTTTTTTTTCCAAGTACGGTATAAGTAAATGGGCGAATATGTCCTTATTAGAGTCATACATGACTCTAATTCCTAGAGTCCTAGAAATCCTCAGCAAAACAAACCTTATATAAGTACAAGTGGCAGTAGTGCATTTTGACATTCTTCAATATAAGGCGAAAGACAAAATTAGGCAACAATTTACACTTTTTTCCCTTTTATTTCTTACTTATAATGGCCATTTACATCAAAGTTTTACAGCAAAAATAGAGCGAATCTAACAAATGCATCTAAGCGTCAATAATTCTTCCTTATACGCATCAAAAGTGTACTTTTAGTAGCCTAGAAAAGTACAAACTTTATATCGTACGAGTAAGCATGATAATGATGATGTGTGGTTATTCCTTTTATCCCTTTACCTTAAAATAAAATTCATACATGAAAAAAAATATTTAATAATTCTAATGTCAGGTAATTTAGAGCCTATCAAACTTGGACTATTTTTTTTTTAGCTGGGTCGACCAAAAATTGTGAGAAAAGCTTCTTAACAATATATTCTTTTGGAATTTCATTAGATTGAGAGGGCAGGAGATAAGAATAATATATGCTTAAAAGATTAATACTCCACTAATTAAATCTCATTTTGGCCACCTAGATTTAACACATCAGCTAAAATAAAGAAGAATATAAACAAAGCATGCACTTTTTTAGAAGGTAAAAGAAGTGACACAATCACTAACTCATAAAGTATAGCATTATTTTTAGCATTTTAAAATAAACTAATTAAGCTTTGATATTTATGATTATTATTAGACTAAGCACAGTAAATAATCATTTACTTACAGTGAATCTTTTGCTCTTAATTCTTCATCAAACTGGATTACTTGTAGCTTGTCTTTTATCTCTCCTTTGATCCCTATACTCCATGGCTACAACCCAACAAATAAAAAAAATATCAGAAACTTTATTTCAAATAATAATAATTAAATATTGGTCTGCCTCTTAAACACAAATAATCGAAGATGATCACTTAAAACACTAATTAATGAATTTATAATACCTAAATATAAAACAATAATCTTACTAAAAAACAGTCGGACTTTTAAGAGTGTTTTATCATTGCTCGATATGATCATAAAAAATACTCTGTATAACCATGAAGTACGTGTACGCGAAGAAGCAAGAGTAAAGTACTAAAAATAGTAAGTTAAGAAAGCTTACAGGGGAAAGGAAAGAGACAGAGTGATGAACAGATTGCTGTAATCGTGGATGTGTTGACATATTATTGTTGGCTCTTCTCTTGAGATAAAAGAGATAAAATAAAAGAAATAAAATGATGGCAAATAATATTGGTATTGAAAATATAAATGCTTGGTATAATTTAAGCTGTAATTCTTCTGGGTATAAATTAGGATTTGTACGAATTTCATCTTCATGTCTTTCCATAATAATATTAACTTAAACTAAGATTAATAATAACACAAAAGAATTTGTTTTTTTAGATATTTAGAGTTGAAAGAGAAAGAGAAGGAGGATTTTGGTGCTTCAATTCAGCTCTATTTATATATAAAGAGGTTTCAATTTATCAGTAGATTTAATAATTTAGAAAATCACTTGAGAAAACGACAATTAAAATTTAAAAATAAGCAACTTTTGTACACAAAATAGGAGGCTAGAAGGGTGTTTTTAAATGAACCACAGATGATGAAATATTATTATTCTCTGTGTTTATTCAATTTATATTATTTTGATGGGACAAGCCCATAATTCTCCACTAAGAGAGGAAAAAGATAGGAGAGAGAAAAAAGTTTTTAGAAAAAATATTTTATGGGCCCAATATAACATTAAGCACAATTGGGGGCCTACTTGATGCTAGTCTTTTAGCCCAAATGGAGCCCAATTATTATCTCACATTTTCAATTGTGGATTGGAAAGATAGTTAAAATGATTGGAGAATGTACAGTGGTAAAAATTACAGTTAATGAAATAGAATATTGAGTGATGCTAAAGTTCAAAATAATTTATTTATTTTTAATGTCAATTCTATTTTCTGCCATTTGAGAATGGAGCTCTTGTTAATTGAGGTTTTTAGTCATGCTTAATTGCTTATGGGTGTGACATTCAAGTACATGTAACATGGGACAACATCATTTAATTTCTATCATGGAGTATGATGCCTTTATTTTTTTTTAAATGGTTTGTAACGATAATCAATTACTTCGTATGACTTATGTTGGTAACAATTTGGTTGTAAATTTCGTTTTTGAGGATCGTCTTAATTAAATTATCAACTTAAAAAAAATTTCTTGACAAGATTGTCAACAATAAATATCAGTTTTTAGTTGGACACAAATGTTATAAAAGCTTTTTTTATGTAGAGGTAA